TGGGATGCAGGCAGTAGACAAAACCACACCCCCTCCGGTCCATGGAAAAACCTCTCTCCACTGAACCGGTCCCTGGTGCCCAAAAGGTTGGGGGCCTCTGTATTAAAGTGTCAAAAAAAGGAACCCAGCGATGAAATTATTCAGTGGTGTAAAGCAGTTTCTTCACGTAAAAGCAAGAGAGAAGTGAACCAAATAAAGGCACAGTAAATTGGCACCAGCTATGCCAGGGGTAGGCAACCTTGGCTCTTTTATGACTCGTGGATTCAACTCCCAGAATTCCTGCTGGCTCAGGAATTCTGGGAGTTGAAGTCCACGAGTCATAAAAGAGCCAAGGTTGCCTACCCCTGAGCTATGCCAACCATAATAGGAAAGTGAAGCCAGTTTTTATTGTGTTCAGAAAGGACACAAAATAATGGTACAGAAGATAGTATGTTTCATCTATAATGACAAAAAAACAACACCAAAGTGATCTCTCCTAGCAAAGGGCAGCTAGTCCTCGAATTACAACCATTCATTTAGTGACTGTTCAAAGTTAAACTGGCACTGAAGAAAGTGACTTATGAACATTTTTTACACTTATGACCATTGCAGCCATCTCATGGTCACATGTTCAAAATTTGGATACTTGGTAGCTGGTTCATATTTACGATGGTTGCAGTGTCCCAGAGTCATGTGATCAACTTTTGCGACCTTCCGACAAGCAAAGTCAAGGGGGAAGTCAGATTCACTTAACAAGCGTGTTACTAACTTAACAACTGCAGTGATTCACTTAACAACAGTGGCAAGAAAAGGTCGTAAAATGGAGCAAAATTTACTTAACTGCACCACTTAGTTACAGAAATTTTGGCTGTAATTTAAATATCAGATTTTATCATATAAACCTAAGGGGTCTTATGGGGAGATAGGAAGAAGTTCAAGTAAGACTGTTTGGGGCTAATCCAAAGCTCTTATACAGACGGCGAAACTACATGATTTCCAACAAAGAAGTACAAAAAAAGTACATTTTGTAATGTTTAAAACCTTCACACAGTGATACAACAAAGTAAATCATGTGCGGGGTGGGGGGGGAATCTAAAATCTAATTCAAAGGCTATAGCAAAACTACCCTATGACAATTTTGTATATGTTTTCATCTGGATTAGTTTATTTTCCCAACTCTTTCATTTATCTTAAATTTACAGTGACATCTACTGGACATGTTTTAATCTTTAAAACAGTGCCAAGACCAGATCTTAATATTTCTTCTTCCTTAGAAAAAAAGACATACAGATCATCTTTTAGTATAAGATCATCAACTGTGAATCCTGTCATTTTTCAACCACTCAACTCTCTGCACACAAGAACAATCACTCCAGCACAAATCAAAATACACAAATTATTTATGCCAAACTAGAATACGGATAATCCTCAACTTAAGAGGAGCCCAAAATTTCTGTTGCTAAGTGAGACATTTGTTAAGTGAATTTTGTCCCATGTTATGACTTTTCTTGTCACAGTTGTTAAGTGAATCAGTTGTTAAGTTAGTAACACGGTTGTTAAAGAATCTGGTTTCCCCACTGACTTTGCTTGTCAAAAGGTTGCAAAAGATGATCACATGATCCCAGGACACCGCAACTGTCAGTTGCCAAGTGTCTGAATTTTGATCACGTGATCATGGGGATGCTGCAATGGCCATAAGTGTGAAAAATGATCATTTTTTTCAGTGCCGTTGTAACTTTGAACAGTCACTAAATGAACTGTTGTAACTCGAGACTACCTGTAGTCCTATCTGGAAAAGCTCAAGTTAATATTTTAACTTGATTTAATATTTTCTTTTAAAATTGTTCTGAAACATTATATATTCTTTACTATCGTAACCCCAAAATCTCTTTCTGGAAAATATAACTGCTTTCCAGTATTAGCATTCCAGCATTTGGGTTCTATGCAGTATATGTTTTGCAGATTCTCACTGGACAATTTGTATGACATCATCAGGGGAACAATTTCTATCTTACTAAACCAGCACTGAATTAAGAATTTGTTGTTTTATTAAGCATTCCCTACATGGGGTTCAGGAAAAGAAGGAGGAGTTGAAGGATACAGCAAAAGAACAATGAGATATTTTTTGGGGGGAAGTCCACATCTATTCCTTGGTCCATCACCATATGCAACCTTGATAGCATCTTTGATGGAAGCCTCCTTCCTTGCCATCTTAGCAAATCCCTTTTCCTAGGACTATTTGACATCAAGTCATAGACTCTTTTGTGGGAAAATCTGTTCATACACCTGGCTATCCTAACTAGTGATGCTGCCTTTGGGAGAACCATCATGTGAGTGAAAACCACAACCCCAGCAATGTTGTATGAGGGAGTCTGCATGAGTAGATGATGGAGCTGAGGGCTAGTTTCCCTACCGATTTTATGGATGTTTTGCTTGGTATCTTGAACAATGAGTTTATTAAATTGGTCAACACAGATTCTCCTAAACACCCAATTCATCCTGTTTCAAAAGTGATACTATGATGAATGCATGGACTGTAGAAGCTCAGTATGAGAAACTGTGGGGAGATTGGAAAATAATAAAAATAATATTAAACATGAGCAATCAATGTTTAGGGAGGGAATCTACTGGTGCCTTGTCCAAGATATTAAGGCCAAGTGGCAGACTTGGAGGAAATGGTTCAGACTGTTGTGCAAGTTCTGAAAGTCTCCATCTTAATGAAGCTACTAATAAATCTTCTGGCCATTTCTAAGATTCTGTATTTACCCAATTCTAGCATCATAGCATCACATCATGGTGAATGGTTCTCCACTTGTCCAAAAGAGTAGTACCTATGAAGGATTCCAGGTCTTAAAAATATCTAAAAAGATATATGTAGAATTCATTTTGTTGTTTGGAGTTGCTGGCATATAGTTAGCAGATTTTTTTTTTAAATGTAAATTTTAAAAAAAAAAAAAACGAACAGCAGAGTTAAAATTGATGTTGACCCAAAAATATACAAAGCTGATTTTTCAAAGCAACAAAAGTTATACTTCTCAACAATACATATTTATAGGACTTACTTACCTGAAATAGATATATTTTGAGATCTTTATGATGCAAATATTTATTTTTGCTCTTCCGAAAACATGTCACTAGGTAGGACAAAGCTATCAATATAATTAACAGGCCAGCTGCTGTTCTGTAAAAGATAAACTATTTGTGAGTGCTTTTCAAAGATATTTCTGTAGGAATCATTTCATAAAAAATTAAATTAATCACAAAAGTGCAACTATGCAACATGAATAAGACATTAATCTAAGCTCCAGGGAGTCAAAAAGAAGGTTCGAACTGATGAATATATTAAGGATGACCTTCTTTCCTATCCCAATTCAATATTAGCTGGATTCACTCGTGTGTGAGTTGGGTGGCTATATGTATTTACTGAATATATAAGTAAATACACCAAGTTTTCAAATTTGCATTTGGTTTATTGCTAGTAACTGTCCTTAAATGATCAGTTAATTATTTTTGGCAAAAAGACTGATTCTGTTCCACTGCTGCTGGTGCCTTTTAAAACTCTGACCAACACTTTTCTAAACCACTGATTCTAAAAAAACATTAAAAAGGTTGGATTTACTTCAGAATGTCGTCTCGGTGCTTTTTAAAAAAATTGTCACTGAAGATCCATTATTTTATTTGTATCCCACTATTATTATTTTTCAAAATATCTCAAGGCAGTGAACGTATCTAACACATCTTCCTTCTCCTATTTTCCCCACAAAAACCCTGTGAAGTGAATTGGGCTGAGAGTGACTGGCCTAAGGTCACCCAGCTGACTTTCACGGCCAAGGTAGGACTTTGAACTCTCATCTCCCACTTTCTAACTTGGTTATTTTAACCACTAGACCACCTAGATAATAGATCAGATAATAGAATATCCCTAAAAAGAATTCCATGGTATTTGGACTTTTAAGTTTCCTGCATCTATTTTACAGGATAGTACACACTTTTCTTTTAAAAATGACATCAGGGTTTTTTTCTTGCTGGTTCATATTTGTTATTTCGTTTCCATTTCTCTTTGTTTTCTATCTGATCCTATTACAATCTCCTGCTGATAGAGAACTGCTCTCTGGGTCAGCATGATACATGGATCCAGCTTATGACTAGATCAGTGGTTCTCAACCTTTTTAATGCCGTGACCCCCAATCGGTCGTAAGTCGAGGACTACTCAACCGGTCCTAAGTCGAGGACTACTCAACTGGTGCAGCACCATTTGCAGAATGGGACTTTTGGCGGGCTCAGCAGGGCAGAGACAGCCTGGACAATTCCTATTGGCTTTCAAAAGCCAATAGAATAAAAGGGAGTAGCACAGCTAAGGAAAAGGGGGAAAAAATGGCGGACTGCGTTGTTTGGCTATCCCCCGTGAAATGGTCATTTGACCCCAAACGGGGTCCCGACCCACAGGTTGAGAACCACTGGACTAGATACTCATTACATCTGTTCTGAGAATGTAAGAAGCCTCTCTATAAACTTCTAGATCCATTTTTGTTCCAATTGTTAAAAGTTGTTTTTCACTGATAAAAGGGAAGCTCAGAAATAAGGGAAAAGGTCCACATAATAATTTTATAGCCTACATAAAGCAGAAATCATCAGAAAATTATAATCTTCAGTCTGAAACAAGAATAAGAACGGGCAGAATTTTTGTTCCAGAAAGAATAAATTTACAAACCTGCTATTTTAGAATATCCTTTTGGGGGGGGGGGAGGGTGGAGAAGAGAATATAAAGCATTCTGATAACAAAGTTCTCATCTGAGAACTTCAAAAACTTACATTCAATAATTACCTCTCTCCCCACCACAATTAAATGACTTTAATTTTGGATTTCAAGAATAAATTACTTGGATTCCAATAACATATTTCCCTTCTAGAGACAAGCAAGCATTAGATGAAATTAGAACAAGATTACATGAAAGTGGTAACGTGAAGAAAGCCGATTCATACTTACACTAAAGAGATATTTGATTCTCTTCCTATCACAGGCATCAACGGGAAGATTGCCAGGAGCAAACATGAGAGAATCCAACTTAGCACTGTTGCCTATGGCCAAAAACAAGTAAGTTACACCTACAAATAGAAGTATAATGTTTAAATATTAATGTACATATAAAAACATTTTAAGTAAAGTTATATAAATTTGTACCTGAAATTATAAGAATTCAAAATGTAAATTTCTGGTATGTGTGGGTGTATATAAAATGTCAATATTGCTTGAAGGAATCACTCTAAGATAACATAGTATAAAGTGTGGGGCAGGGTATTCAGCAGGCCAGATAACAAGAGTAAGTAAGAGTAAGTAAGTGTTCACCCTTACTACAAGGTGGTCAAAATGTGGAAATAACTGCCATTAATAAATATCTGTGTGATATAACTACCGTATATGCCGGCGTATTAGGCGACCCGGCGTATAAGACGACCCCCGTCTTTACAGCCGAGCTGCATTCCTAGAACGTCGTCTTATACGCCAGAAACTACCAGTATTTCCGGCGTATAAGACGACTCGGCGTATAAGACGACCCCCGTCTTTGGCGCCGATTTCAGCGCTCGCGGAAGTCGTCTTATACGCCGGCATTTACGGTACATGCAAAAAAGGGGTAGAATCATCTACAAAAATATGCTAAACCCTTCCTACTGACCCGACATAGAATCATTTCAGAATACTGCACTATTAATGATTTCACTGATTTTAAATGGTTGTCTCAAACTGGGTTAGCATTACAGGACACCTGCATATTCTCTTCTGTACCACATTTTTCATTTCACCGTTTTACAGTTCAGATAAAAGCTAAGTTTAGCTAAACTCCAAAAAAAAAAAAAAAACCTAACCCCAAAAGAAAACCAGTAACAGAGCATATTAGTACTTGAATAAATCATAAATCCAAGAGTGATAGGGGAAGTCAAAACATTTGAGAAGGGGGCACTTCTGTCTGTTGTTATGAAAGTTAACACAGTCACTAGGACTTGAACTTTCCAGCTCCGGTGCTTCACCTACTGCTTCGGTGGCTGTGTGGGCAGAACTATGAAGAGGACTCGGAAGGGGAGTGAAAAGGAAGAGGGGGGATGGGCAGAAGAGGGGGGAATCTGTCCCATGCTGCCCCACTTGCTTTGTGGCTGCTTTTGGCCGAGCTACATTGCATTCGCCAATGCCACTGCCATGAGGCCTGGCAGATCCCCCCAAGCGGCCAGGATCCCTGCAGCAGCGAAAGTGGAGCTCTTGGTCCTGGGGGGAGAAGCAGTGGCTGCAGTGGAGCACTCCTTCCAGGAGAGGTTGGGGGAAGCCACGGCTGCGGCGCACTCCATTGGGGGGTTGGAGGGAAGCCGCAGTGGTATTGCGCTCTGTTGGGGGGATTGGGGAAAGCCATGATGGCAGCATGCCCCGTTGGGGGGATTAGGGGGAAGCAGCGATGGTGGCGCGCTCCATGCCGGGGGGGGGGGAATTCTGCAGAGAACCGGTTGTTAAATTATTTGAATCCCAGCACTGTATACATGGCTTGCAAGAAGGTAACTATGGCTAGCAAAACTTTCTATGCATTTGCATATTTATAATTTAAATAAAGCATTCATGACCTTTAAATGGAAGTGTACATTTCGTGGGGCAGTAGCCATAACCATGCTACCAAATCTCCCTATACAAAAAATACCTTTGCTATGATCCACATTCGAATGACCACAGGCCACAAAGAAAACACCATCAGGCCAAAAGTGAGAGTAGAACGATAGAAGAAGGACAAAACCTAATTCACACAAACATATACAAATGGAGAAAAATAGATATGGTAAAGAACTGAAAATCTCCTCTGATACAAAATTTCATAATGATTTTTAATTTCTCAAAAAAAAATTCATTTGATTCTTTTGTTATTTCATTATGTTTTTATTTTAATCATCCATTCCTTTAAAAATTATACACAAATAATATTAAAAGGTTATTAGCTGAATTACTTACTAATATTTCAATCCCCACAGCATATATTACTAAGAATCCAGCAAATTGAGTCCGCTGAACATTCAAGAGAAATCTGATCAATACATGGATAGCAGAGTATCTAGAGGGAAACATTATGCTAAATAAATTTCTTATTAGACCAAAAGCTACATAAAAATAAGAAATAAAAGCAAAGCAACATTTCCCAATTGATGGTGTATTGTAGCATAACTAGGAGTTGCCAGATTGGGAAGATTGAATTAAAAATGAACATGAACAAATTTCTCCAAGATAGTTAAATTCAAACTATGCGTCAAGAATATCTACTTTGTCTAGTCCAGAGATTCTAAAACTTTCTGGTTTATGGTGCCCTCTAGTGTCAGTATTTTTGACAGTGTCTCTAGTGGTTCTTATACCTTGTGCTGTGGCATCCGAGGGCATTATTGTGAACTCATGACTAGTTTGGTTTCTTAAATAATAAAATATCCTGTGAATTCCAGGGTAGAACAATGCCCCATTTGGGAACTATAGATCTATCCATCAATATTCTCAAAAATACGTTTCATAAAATTGAAACACAACTTAGTAAGTCAGCTTGTCACGGAATGCACAAAAAAAATCATTATTTCTAAAATGAGTCAGGAAAAAACCTTCAGTAGTTAGAAAGCACAATCATTTTGCTAACCTACAGGAGGATGCAATTACTTTTAGTTTGCTACACATTCTGAAGTAAAGTTAGCATCCCTAACTTTTGAAGGACACACAGCGAGACTCAAGATAGGTGTTATGGAACTACCAGTCTATCTTCCTGCTGCTTCAGATGTCAACCATCCCTTTCTTTCATCTTCTTGCTAGTAAAAGTCCATGTGAATCTACTATAAATATGCATTTTTTAAAATCTCACACAGAAACCCTAGCATCCATCACTTCACATACTAACCTTGCATTTTGAAAGCAGCTCATACTGATGTGAAGTGTTTTAATGAAAGGAGAAAACCCAAATGGCTCCAAATCTAGGAACATGGATACATTCCCCCACACTTTACACACACATGCACAAACACAGAGAGATAAAGACAGAGACAGAGAGACAGAGACTGAGAAACAGAGACTTATTCATTTATTTTTAAAACCTTACTCTTTTAAAACTGCATACCATACAGGAATTGGTAATAGGCAATATATGTAGTAGGTCCAAGGCAAGCTTTGAATGAAGAGAAAAAAGGCTATCAAAACTCCAATAGCTGCAAAGATATACTGGAAAAACCTGTCAGACACCTGAAAATAGAAATGTTAATATTATTTGATTATTGTAAACATTGTATAAGTATCTACTTAAACATTTCTGAATATTCACTAGCAAATATAAAAAGCAACTCAGTGTAATCCAAGCAGGCTAAGCCATCATCTTTCAACAGCAGGGCTCAATAATCATTTATCTACCTGCTCCTAGAAGCAAATCAGAAGATTTACCAAGATTATTTTCCCTGCAAGTCAAAGAAATAAAACTTCCTCTTTTCCCTAGCAAACTCTGTTTGCTTCTACCATACAGAAATAAGAGTAAATGCTCTTTCACTAATACAAACATAAATTCCTCAGATAAAAGGGGCAATCAAATGCACAGTCACATGTGGGCACTCATATACAAAACATACACTTTTATCAGCTCTATATGATCTTCATCTGAATTAATGAATGTCTTTTCGGATGATTTTTTTATAAATACATTTTTGTATTTGAAACAATGATGGGGACCCTATAGCCATCCAAATGTTGAACTATGGACAGTATAACAAGATTGTTGTGAACTGTAATTCAGCGATCTCTGGAGGATTCCCCATTTCTGATCGAAATATTCAGTAGGTTATAAAATGTAATTCATTTCTCAATATATCTTAAGGAAACCTAAAAAGGAACTTGTTTCATGGCAGATTTACATTTCCAAAATTTCCATTTTTAAAAAGCATTTTATAGATTTTTCTACACACATTTATAGATTTTTTGATATGCCAAAAATTCCAGCACTTAATTTCTGAAGACAAATAAGTTCACTTATGGAGTTAAGCTATCATGCATGCCAAACCACAAACATACCTTATTCTTTGATATACTCTTGGTCATGCTTATGTCTGATTTTACTATAATCAGAATTACATAAAATGTCCATCCTATAAAACCCATGGTGATACTCATGCCAAGGAAAAATCTGTCATATGTATGGTAATAAGAGAGCCCATCTAAAGCAAGATTAATCAGCTTTCTGCAAAGGGATGTCTGAAAAAGAAAAAAAAACAGCAATCAAATATTTTCATGTTGGATCTTTCATATAGTTTTATCATCTGCATTATCCTTGATTTGTTTTTGTACATTGCAAGATTTACCGTAAATGAAAACTGTTTCACTTAATAACTGAATTATCAGTCCCAACTGTGGTCACTAAATGAAGACTACCTGTAACAAGCCGTCAACGGGAATTCTTATAAATATTAAAGAAGACCCAGTATGACAGATTCAAAGTATAACCAATTAAATTATATTGCTCTTAACAAAGAATTACAATAGGGGCAAAGCTTTCCTGAATGGAAGACAGATGCTTTTATAAGACTAGATCTGAGATTACATGTATGCTTACACATTATAAAAGTATCATTACACCATTAGATAATGGATCAAAAAGAAAAGCAGTAGCATCATTAAGTTATAAATGTAACAAATATATTTTTAAATTTTCACACAAAAAATCAAAGGAAATAAACTCATTGGATAGTTTTACTTACAGCTTCCTCATATTTCTCCTGTTGAATAGATAGCCTTGTTTTTCTCAGAATATCAATTTGCTCTGATTCAGAGAGAGACCTGTGCAAGACAGAATATTTCAGCTTCTCAATTTTATTACTGTTTTGGGAAAGACGGAATAAAAAGCACAACTTTAAAGATTTTTTAAAAAAACTCAACCAGTTTGCAGTATTCTTATTGATAAATCAGTGCCTAGCAAAAACGTACTTATCAATAATTACTTTTAATAAAAAATTAAATTATCTCTGAAGAACTTTTAGCAAACAAATTTGCTACTGCCCAAACAAAAGTTTCTGGAGAAATTAAGGAGCCTGGGGGGACTATTCAAAAGAATC